TATTGCAGAATATAATTAAACTAACATCAGATTCGAATTCAGCATGGAAAGTTACACATAGTTCGATATTGTTTACAATTTCTAAATGAATAAAAGTAGAAAAAAGTTAAGATAAGGTGCCCCTTTTCTTTGCTATATTTTTGCAATTTAAAGGGCATCGCTTGGACACATAAAGCTCCGGCCAAAAGTGGAACCTGGTGGCTTTAGTAGTATCGGGTGAGGACTATTTAAGAAATAAGTAAATCAAAAAACTGACGCTTAGTTTTTCAGGGAGCGAAGCGCCAAGTTGAGAGTTTTTCAAAAGTAGGTCCGAATACCGAGTCCGGCCAGGGAAAACGAAAAGAGCCGTGAAGTTCGTTCTTGCGTCATTTGAACAAGCATCGAAGTCACTTTCATTTGATTATAGATTTCATTCGATTTTATTTTGTTTTGGGTTCGCCGTGACCGTTGCAAAAAGTACAGTTTTGGTCCAAAGCAACGGGCCCCCCAAACGAAAATTATTTTACACGTCAAAGATAAAAGCTGGATTTCAGGGGCACAAATATGTAACTTTCGATACTCTATCCAGCCACGAGAAACGGGGCGCTTCAAGTTCTCTCGCAGTCTCGGAATATTCGGTTAGAAAAATCCGAAAAACGCTAAAATTCACAACTTATTGCCGAGGAAAAACCGCATTCGGAATAACTTTTCCAGGAACAACCAGGGAACTTTATACACTTTTAGTAGTACTATTGATTGCATATAGTCAAACCTTCCCGGCCTTCAGTCATGTATAAAGTGGACGGACCTGCGCGGAAGTACTCATTGGAAAGAATAATGAAAAATGGCAGTAATCAACGGCTCTCGATTAAGAGTACGTTGAAGGCACGGTGCCTCAAGTAAAAGGCAGAGTGGCACATTTGTGAGGGTATCAGCATTTTGCATTGATAAAATACGTTAAAATCTTGTTATGTATTTTTTTCAGAGCACGTTTTGTTTGTTTGTTCGGACATGTCCAATGTGCAGCACTTTTTCAAATAATGGAGACATTGTTTAATTGGAAGTGCAAACAGTTCTTCGTAAGCTGATCTGGGACGAATTGAGAGAGAAGTGTTGATGGGACGAACTGAGAAAAAAGCTTTATGGAACGAATTGAGAAGTCAATTTGGGACGAACCTAGAGTACACCATTTATTTGACTCTTTTTTCGTCGATAAATTAAAAAAAATTAATAATTATAGGCTAAATCCGTGTTATACTTACCACGTAGTACAAAAGTGCCTGGTGCAAGCGACAAGGCCACCTCATTTTGTATATTTTGGCTTGCAGTTGAATCGAATGATAGTGGCAGGGGCAGGATCTCTACCTTTGTTGGAAAAAAGACGCTATGGCCGTTTTATTCCCTTTTAGAATAGTGCCTCATTTTCGTCTGTTTAGCACTATTAGGCTTGTATCTCCTGCTCTATAAAATATTTCAAAAAATTAGTTTTTTATTAATAAGTGTTCTCTATACGTCAAATTTCATCCTCTCTAGCATTTTTACTAGAGCCTATTTCTGAAAAAAATGAGCTAACAAAGTAGGTTTTCTGAGAAAATAAATAAGTTTATTCTACTAAATGGATACACATGACATGAGATGTTTGAATGCTAAAAGAAAGGAAAACACTATATAACGGTTTTCTAAACTATATTAAAAACAAGGCTAATAGTTTTAGATGTAAGTTATCTCATTCCAGAGTTAACAGGCTGCGAATTTTGTCAATCGGTGCTTGTTTACCTTCTCCCTGTATACAATAAATACTTATTGCAGCAATACGAACAACACGGTCAGATTCCCAAGCGTGAAGAAATGATTTTTCAGCAGCTGTTAATTCTTGTTCAAGCCAATCTTTAACTAATAAATCACCTAAATTCTGTCCAGATATACGTTCAAACAACTTTTGTTGTGACATGTTTTGCGTTTCATTCAATAACTCATTGTAGATTCCGTGTGCCAGTTCCAAATCATCAATCTCAGTATTGTTCACAGTCAGTCGTTTGTTTTGATAAGCCACGGTGTATGTGACTGTGCGCGAGGTGATGGGAATCTTCTTGCCACTTTTATCGTACAACTGAAATATATCATTACATAGAGATTTTGGTGTGACGCTAAACAAAAACAACACGAACTAATCATTGAGATAATGAAAACATCAATACAAACTTCACGGCTAAATTGGTTAAAAGCGACTGGTAGCTATTGAAAGGAGATTGCTGTTTACACTGATGCTATCTGCACCTGAGTGCGAGAATAGAGTGGGGTATCAGATCTACGTGCGTCAAGCTCTGGCAATCCTAAGCCGTTCAAAGATTCACTCGCAACATTTCTCTCTCGCATGTCTTACTGATATTTCGGTTGTTCGTCTTCATAGTAAGCCAATACGCGTCGTGTTAATCGACGACAATGATCATAATGTGATTCATCAACCATGTTTTTTAATTTTCCATGTTCTAGTATTTGTTGATTGAAATCTTCTATCATATCTAAACAGTGTGGTCCATGTGGTAATAAATTTCCAGTTTCTTGAGCAGCTGTGATTGGCCAAGCTAAATTTTGATCATGTGTTAGGAACAATAGTCCTTGGCCATCTTTAAGGACAAAAGAGACAAGTATGAGAATTAAAGATTAAAGTTAAAACTCGCTGAAATAATATCAGAAACCTGGTGTGTTACTAGCTGGTGGAGCCGAATGGTATACTGTGGCACGTCTCCTCGAGAATTCAACGTAATTTTCCCATCGTCCCTGTGTCCAAATGCTACAATTTGCCAAATCATGTTCTTTTGCATAGACCAAGTCACTGCGTGTACAAACACATTCAGTTGATGACGAACCAGAACCACTTGTACAATCACCAGTACACTCACACGTTTGATCATTTGATTGATAGCAATAATCTCGTGGACCTTCGTATGACCCATCCGGTTGTGAACATACCAACTTTCTTCTTATATCAATCTCAATAAAAGCAGCAATTGTCGTTGACAGGAGGAGGAAGAGGATCCCAATGAGTGATTGATGCATTTGAAGAAACTAAAAGAAAAGACGTATTAGGATATAGAGCGGACAATATACATGAACATATGGGCGGTAAATATTTTTAACAAAATAACTTTAAACTTTCTTTTTTCTACAAAAAAGCCCGCTTTATTGAATCTTAACTATGTGCTGATTGTGCTTGGTTTAGAACTTTGATATGAGTTGGGAATGATGTTTTTCACACTATATTTATACATCGAATATGTCTATAAGAACTAAATTTTGCTCCACTTGAAACAATAAAATCATGAAACCAAATAAATAGCTATTTAACCATATACAGTACTCTAAAGTTCATATATTGTACATATCGCCAAGGGAAATAATCGCAATAAATAAATCGGAAACATTATTTCAAAAAAGTATTTACAATTATACACACTGGATGAATTTGTCATATTCACTTGTTTATAATTCTTCTAATGAAAATATACTTTTTGAAAATAATATTTCTGCTTCATTTATTGAAATTATTTCCCTTGAATATAAGTACAGTAAATGAACGTTAGAGTACTGTATATGATTAAATAGCTATTTATTTAGTCTCATGATTTTACTGCTTGAAGCACATAATCCTATTATGCGTAAATAATTGATGCACACGGTCATTTGGCTGGGATTCTTGAAATTCTAGCAGAAAAATCTACCCACCGGATTAATCATTTGATGTGTATTTCAAATATGGTAGTAACATTTATCAAAAGTTTGTCATAGCCAAAGAAAATTTTCCTGTCAACATCAGCTCAAAATTAAACTCAAAACACGACTTCGAAAAGTTTTTGTCTTGTACAATCGAGAGAGACGTAGAAAGTTGATTCCTTTGTCCTATATATAAAATACTACGGTCTGTTGTTGGATATTAGCCGCAACTCTGTAGCAGTGAAACACACTCAAAGGGTTTTTAAAAACAAGTCACTTCACCTTCACGCACATGTTCACCCTTTATTTATTTTCAACCAGTTTATTCAATATATACATTGAAGGTATCTTAGTATCTATCTCGAATGCAATTTTTTTGTTTCTTTCGTTAGCTCACATTCTTTCCTAGTAACTAATAAAAGTACTGGTAAATCTTTCGAAAACACCGATTTTAAATACTAAAAACCTACAAGTCCAGTGGCAAAAAATTTAAAGGATAAAAGGTCTTTTGTGTCTCCGACAGTGTTTATAGTAATGTTTATTGTTATTATTATTGTTTAGCAGTGTTTATAGTATTACACTAAATACACTGTAGCTATCGATATCCTATGAACTGTGTTTATAACTTTATCAGAATAATATTATCTAAAGGTGTGAGACGTCTCGTTCGAAAGCAACTACACTATACAAACGTATGCCCTGAAAAACGATTTTTATAATCTGTATACTGTACAAAGAATTAGTGCAAATGAGTATTTCGAATCTCCCCTCACAGTTCCATTCGTCATTGCTTTGATTTTCATTTGTTTTCTACAATAACTTCGAATCCTAAATCTTCCATAACATTTACTGCATCACGAAATCCGCGATCAATAATTATAATATCCTCCGGGTTAAGCCGATCTAGGATATTATCATAATTGTTGAAGAAACAATGTGTGATGATACTGGCATCATTGTTTTTCGAATCAGATAAGAAACGACCCAAAGCATTTACCATACTCAATTAATTTAAAATTCAACCACTTTCAGACACACGTCTATTTTATCGCCTTCTCTATTTCTATAAAATTTTCAATCATAAAAGTCTGCTCTCTTCTTCTTATTTGATGTCACAGTTAACAACGCCTCAAAGCTCTCGCTTAGACCATGGCAGTCGCGTGTTTATTCAGCGTTTAAAGTCAAAATCTGTATCTAGCCACTTTTCTTCCGCGAATATCGAAAGATTGGGATGAACTGCCTTCTATCTTAATGTGTCAGTCTTCTTTATCAACATTTAAAAATATGCTGAGAGATTATGCAGACTTTTAATAATGCTATATATATTTTTTCTGTTCTTTTTCTTGTATTTTTGGTTTTAGGTTATAACTAGGTATCCATGAATGCCACAAGGATTTTGAACTTATTTTTTGATATCCTGCCTTTGCGTAAAATAAAAATCTAATCTACGGTATCGAATGGTAATTAAAGGGTATCGAGTATTGAAACTGTATATCATGGACAAATTATCTCATCGAATGAACTACAAAAAGTAAATAATAATATTGGTGGACTTTGTTCTGTTAATATGTATCTCTCTGCAGTATTCGACAGTCAAGTAGCATTAGATTTTAGTAGTAAAGGATCTGAAAATCTACATCATGCATTAGTTATATTCGAAATTAATATTACAGGTGAGACCAATCATTCAGAACTTTATGCTGATATAAGAAACGATAGTTAAGATAAACATGAACGTGAAATGTTTATCTTCAATGGATACAACATTTCGTATTGAATCTGTTTAACAGTAAACCGAAACACTCTGATTTGTTAAATTAATATTAACCACGACTGAAAGTGAATTAGCGTTAAAAACTCTAAATAAAAATATACGAGATAGACCAACATTAGAGAAACTGGGTGACTTTTTGGAACGACAAAACGATGGTGAAAAAGCTATTCTTTTTTACAAACTGCTATTTTACATGAACTATCATTGAATCATTATGATGTAGGTGATGTACTCAGTAGCATTCAATTATGTCATTATAGTATGGATGAATTTAAATTAGCATTATATAAGTTAAAAAAGCCTTAAAAACTCAACGGAAAACTGTTACACCTACTGTTCAATCATTTTCAGCTATTCATAACCACATTGCGTTGCTTCACAGTAAACTCGGTGATTGCGACAAAGCATTAAAACGTACAATGAGCTCTTTCTGTTAATCTGTGTAAGACTCATCCTCATATGGCATCCGTGCATTCGATAATCTTGATACTGCATATAGTGGTATGGGTAATTTTAAAATGCATTACATTCTTATAAGAAAACGCATTGAGAATTGAGAAAACAACACTGCCAGATATGCATGTTGAATTAGTGGTAACATACGGAAACCTCAGTGGATTATATAGTGTTATGATTAAATATAAAACGACATCAGCCTATGCTAAAAAAACGTATAACATAATCTCATCTTGTTTCATACTTACTTTGCTTTGGAGCTTTACTGAACTTCTAAAAGGAGGTCTGTACTAGTGTGCTTCGATCTGATTGATGTTCGTGCTCGATCACATAGGAAAAAGCGAAAGCTCAGTTTAATACGCAGGATTTTGCGTTCGTGCTAATCCTTTCTAAGCATTCTGCAGTTGACTGTGTGCATTTTGGTGATAAAAATGACAACGATAATCCCTGGACAAAATACATTTTGTTTTACAATCGCGAGAAAGGGTCTTTAATTACAGGGCGAGCTCAGGAACTTTATTTTGCATTCTCAGCCATCTTCGCTAACTTTAAATAAGTCATAATTCCTTTTGGAAAACATATTCGCAACGGTTATTACTACCACCGGTACCGTGCAAGACAGTTTGTGTGGAAGATCAAGAGAAAAAGAAAATGTATAGGTTTTCCACCTATAACAGGTTTTATGTGTCATTTGGCGTAAAGTCTACAAATAGAGCTTAAGAGCGAGACGAAAAGACAGAGAGGAAAATACCAGCAATAGAAAAATAAACAACTCATGAATAAATGACTTTTTCTTATCTATTGTACTTTTTACAACTAACTCATAACATTAACAATTCGAACGCCAAGTATCAGTCTGTTTTGTGCAGCAAATTACCTTAAAAAAAAGTTTGCGTAAACAGAAAGCAGACAAAATAAGCGCTTAAAAGAAATTTTTGAAAAAGTCGTAAAAGCCGAGCCGATGAAAAAGCTAAAATAAAACATAACAATCAAACAATTATAAACCTTCTGCTGTACACAAAAAACTGGGGCTTTTTCCTGACAAAAGTCGCTTAATCTCCTTAGCGAAAGTAACTGTGATATGCAGAGATGTCAGAATATCAGTACAGTATCAGTACGGTGCAGCATGAGGGTGAGCCACTGTGCAACATTTGCGTATTGTCAATGAGAATACACCAAGCCTAGCACGTTTTATAGAAATTTATATATTTGCGTATTCTAGTATATTCTCGTGTATTCTCACTACACTGAGAATACACATGCTGGGCTGGGTGTATTCTCAGTGAGAATGCACCAAGCCCAGCAAGGTTGAAAAAAACGGTCTCTTTTTGAGAATACACTGCGTACTGATATTCTGACACCCCTCGTGATACGAGCGAAATTAAGATTGTGGAATTCAACCTGGTTCATCCATAGAATACTTATTGCTACGAACAGTAAAGCAAAGCATAAACGGTTCGACAGGTGGCAGAGTAGATTAATGTCTATTCATTATAAAACAAAGAAACAACTGAAAATGATATGAAAAGAACATGAAAGTCATTATATTTGGAGATGGTGAATAATATGAATCATTTAATATAAAGATATCGGATGAAGAACAGGTAAATAAGTAAGCTCACGGTTGGTATGTGCTGGTATCACTATTTTCAATATAATCTTTTAGAGATCATCCATCTGAGGCGTCCTGTTTTGAAGAAGGAAAGAAGATTAGCCAAAACCGAACGATATTCGAAATCTGTTCGATTTTTTCAAAAAAGATTCCGGTCATTCGTCAAAGGTCATGAATTGCTTTACTTTCTTGGTTTTATTTTCAAATGCACTTCTCGATGCATTTCAAATGCATTTCACCAGTACTACTATCCATTTCAATGAACAGTGCACTCGGTTGTAAGTTGAATAACTCCAGAACGAAGGCAGCTGGAGACTTGCGGTTTTCAGTATTCAAAAGAGAGTCATATTTTTTATATGGAAATGTCAAATCTGATTGATCAAAATTCACCAGTTAGGAGAATTCTTGATGAACATTTTAAAAACAATATTCAATATTTTATGTTTTCTTCTACTCATTCAATGGGTGCGCTTATGATTATAAGTTCTTGACTTTTCCTACTTTCCTGTCAGCCATGTGTTATTTTTTCGTCTTTTTTAAAATTCCTCGTCCATTCTACTACGAGTTTTTTTCTTTACAATGATGACTTGTTTGGTATCTCCCACCGTTCAATCTGAAAATTTTTTAATCAAAAATATTTTGAAATGGAAGAATGCATTTAACTTATTTTATACTCTGCTGATGCGCATCCATAAAATGCTTCGTTAAAATGATATGGAACTCATTTCGCATGCTCAGCGACGTCTCTTTTGAAGATAAATATTCGCATGACACTTTCAAATAATAAAACCACAGAATATTATTGAAATTTGAGGGAAAATCTTGAAGATTTTCAAAAGTTTGGCCCTTTAGGCGTTCTCGAAAACTTTTTCAGAATTCCTCAATCATAACGGGTGTTGCAAAAGTTCTTATAATTTCATATAATTTTATTTTTACTACAGTGTTTTACAGAAACATCATAAAGACTTTATCCTTTTCTGTTAGAAAATGCAAAGTGTCTAGTACAATAATATATAAAAATGTTTGATCGGCAATGTTTTTCGAAGGCCACAAAAGTCTTATAACAAAAGGTATCGGAAAACTGTTCTGCAACTTCAGTTACAACTTTTGTATTCAAATATATTTCTTTGGCCTTTTTCATTAGCCACTTTCGATGTTTTCGAGCACTATATGTATGAAGTTGTTCATTACAACGAAGGCTTTCGTATGATATTAAAAACGTTGGCCTTGAGTACAAGAGATTGATCAGAAGACCGTTTGATTAAAGACTCACTTTAGCTTTTACAACGCGAAAACAAGTTTTTGTCCTAATATCTCAGAGAGCAGATGTGTTCTATTTCAAATAGTACCGTTTAATAGAGGACTTAATAAGCTTTCTTTTCATGTGAAGTATATAGTTTCTGACAACTTCCCTCTAGAGGTAGAATTTAGTTTTTCGACTGTGATCGACAGTGATGAAAAATCGGTGGTAAAATAGGATGTTATAAAAGCGTTCATTTCGACCGTTATGAAAGACGCAGAAAATGTATCTTTTGTGCAGCAATAGTGCCCTATCATTACATTATAAAACTCGGAATAAAACAAAAAAATATAATTTTTCTAATTGGGTGGAGCTTTTTTTTGTAAATTCGAAAAGGTTTCAGAACAATGTTTCGATGCCCTTTGTTCTAAGATTTTTATAGCCTTCGGAAAACATTTTCGATCAAACATTCTTATGTATTATTGTACTAGACACTTTACTCTTTCTAACAAAAAAAGGGTAAAGTCTTATGGTATTTCTGTAAAATACTATAGTAAAAATAAAATTATATGAGAAGTTTTGCAACACCCGTGAGATATATGATCTTTTAGGATGGATTCTGAAAGTGGATACCAAGGGCTATCTAAGCATATACATAACGTTTTATCGCAACTTCTACGAGGTTTTGGACCAAATGTATAAGGCCTTTATGTTTCCGATTGTAATTTACGCATCTGTCATTTATTCCTCAACACATAAAACCGATCTCAGTCCTATTGTTTCTATTCAGTATAAATTTGTGTGCCTGGTTTCCGGGTGTAAACGTCTAATGGATAAGCTTAAGATATTACACTGTGTAGTGTGGTTAGTCATCGAACGAACTTTGCTGAATAATGTTTAGTTACTAGGGTTTAAAATATTAATAGTATTAACACCTGAACACTTACAGGATAAACTAATAAAAAACACAAATTTCCATCACGCTTTGCGCTCCAAAACATCCAACAAACTAAATACACTCACAGGTTCAAAGAGCTTCGAAATGTCTTTCTTTCCTCGTTTCATACTTGAGTGGAAGTTAGATAATAATCCGAGATCATGTACGAAAATAAAAGAGTTTGAAAGTAAATTAGTCTCGACTGAAAATAATATAAAAGTTTTAGAATCTTTGATCTGAACATAGAATATGATCAGATCTATTACCAGTTAAGATGTGGTTTTTCTGATCTGAACTCTCACCTTTTTCGAAAACGTCTAGTTGGAAGTAATCTCTGTCAATGTGGTGTACCTGAAACAGTGGAACATTTTCTTCTTCATTGTCATTTATTTGCTCCTTATCGTACTGTGATGACGAATATTATCGCCGACTCCATACCACGAAAAATTAGGATTCATGTTAAATATTTGCTATATGGGTTCAAATATGATGAATACTCTGCAATCTATTCTGCTGTTATAAAATTTATTGAATACTCTAAACGATTTAACAGTTAACTTACTGTGCATATCCCCTACTTCTTCCGCTCTTTTTTTTCTATCTTCCCTCCTTTCTTGTTAACTTTCCTTTTGTTTTTTTAAATGATAGTTTTTATTTTTTGTTGTTATTGCATTTGTCTATGTTGCGTTTCTTCAAATAGCCAGGTGCAATGCTTTGCGATTCCCGACTATCTGCGATGCTTATTTCAGCTGACTAATAAAATATAGATTAAATTAAATTAATGTTTCCGATTCATTTATTGCAAAAAATTTCCCTTAACTACAATAAATGAACTTTAGAGTACTGTATATGGTTAAATAGCTATTTATTTGGTCTCATGATTTTACTGCTTGTACTACTGAAGCACAAAATCCTATTATGTGTAAATAATTGATTCACATGGTCATTTGGCTGGGATCCTTGAAATTCTAGCAGAAAAATCTACCCACAGGATTAATCATTCGATGTTTATTTCAAATATGGTAGTAACATTTATCAAAAGTTTGTCATAGCCAAAGAAAGTTTCCCTGTCAACATGAAAGGGAAAAACTTTTTTGTACCTCCGGTGAAAATTTCAAGTCAACTAGATGAAAGAAAATGGGCATTTGTATGTATGCAAATGAGAAAGAAAGCAACAGCAATTTGAAAGAAAACAGTGTTTATAGTAATGTATTTTACACTAAATACATTGTGACTATCAACATCCTATGAACTATGTTTATAAATTTGTCAGAATAGTATTATCTAAAGCTGCGAGATGTCTGCGAGAAAGCGAACACATTATACAAGCATATGTCCTGAAAAAAGCACTTTTTATAATCTGTATACAGTACAAAGAACTAGTGAAAATGATTATTTTGAATCTTTCAACAATAACAGAAGAATCTTAGGTTGGGGTTTTTAGACAAAATAAAACATTTTGCACCGAGCTGGTCACAAGGTCAAATTGTCTTTGCTTGAAACCGCTCTGACTCGATTTTCTATACAAAAACACATACATTTGTTTTTAGCCTTTGGCAACTTTTGATGTTAAGAGAAGCAATATGAGCTGTTTTCATTTGCATTTTATTTTTTTCGTTTATACAGTTAAATAGTGAATTGATTTTGCCTGTAATGTTATTTTTGACTTAAATAGCTTTATTAACGTGAGAATAAAAGCATGTGTCGTGAATGATTATGTGCTGCATTTTAAATACTTATGCAAATAAATGTAGTTTTAGTTTTATTCAAGAATATAGTTGAATAAATATCTTATCCCTTATCTTTGCTCATAATACTTTGTTTGATAATCATGTAAGCTGTAACCCATAAATCACCTACTCCTCATTCGGTTTGTCGGTTAGTTAGGGTAGTTTGCTTTGCCTCTGATAAATACTCATCGGTAAAAGGTCAGTGTTCTTACTGGCCCTTGTTGATCATATCTGTCTTATTCTTCATTGTTATCTGACACGTGTAATCGTCAACTTCTTCTAGTTATAGCACCTTATCTGATTAGACGGCTTTTTTTTCAGCCTTTTATCAACTATGCGTTTAGACACACTAGTTCTATTTATTGCCTTAATTATGGGCTTACAAGCAAAATCTGTAATAGATTTAAATGACAACAGTGATGACAATGAAAAAGTTGTTCATGAGGGTAAGAACACATACATTGATTTTTTTTGAAATCATTTGTCAAAAATTTATTTTATAGGTCACTGTCCAATTCATATGTATCATTGTCACGTGATGTGTATGGGTGATATGAGTCAAAGAGGTTGTAAATTTAACGATGTAAATTGTCCAGATCATCAAAAATGTTGTGCTCCAGCATGTGGATGTTCACCACAGTGTGTAAATGCAACGAAAACGGCTAATCCATTTCCAGATAAAGATTAAAATGATATCATATTTTTATTTTTTGCATAACTAATGGGATATGAAATTTTCCTTAATTATCAACTTTTAACCACTTGTTTTTCTTTGGTCATATATATTATATTCGAATTAATGAGTAAGATGGAGGCAAGCGGTTGTGAAATATAGTTTTTTTGTTTATGTGCTGCGGCTCAATGTAAGACTAGATCTATATCGAGTTGGTCTAATCGGCATGACAAAATTCTCATTTCTTAGCGAAAAAATGCTGAAAATCACTCACCGCGCGTATTTTTATGTTCACTACTCTGACGTTATTGTTATACTGCAGTGGCAAAAATGATCCCAATACAAAGAAAAGGAGCAAACGAAAAGAGTATGAAATGAATCGGTTTTTAAAAATTTTACGTTAAAGCTTTTAAAGTTAAACAGGCACAATTTATTCGAATGCAAAGCGAGAAAGTTGGCCTTCGTCACGGTTTTTCGACCGGGCTTTCGGAAATTATGGCCCATTACGAAATCCCTGATTTAGTCAATTTCAGACGTTTCGTAAAGGCACAAATCAGAGCTTTCACAACAGAAAATCAGGGCTATTGTAACGAATTTGACAGGATGATCGCAACCGGTGTTTTATATGTATATTTTAGAACATCAACAATCTCAATTACAGGGGTTTCGTAATGAATTTTACAGAGTTGTCGCCACCCTTTCTTCTTTTTCTTCGCCAGGGTTGTCGTACTATACTTTATTGCAGAATATGAGTGACAATACCAAGCTGTCGTAGCGGAAAATACAGGGCTACGGTAACCAAGGAAATCAGGTTTTTCGCAAAAAGAATGCTTGTATAAATTATTTTTTGTGACGTGACTAGGTACCATCTGTCCAGAACGTTCGCTGCTTTCCTTCTATCCTGTCTAGCTTACAGTTAAACGTGCATTACTCATGTCTTTACACAGCTATAGATGTCACAGTGTTACATAAGAGTAGTAGCGACATATTTAGCCACAAATGATTGATGTAAATATACTAAGAATGATTCTCTATTCTTCTCTCTTTCGTGTTAGAGCTGGGAAGATATAGCGATGTTCATTTTCTTTTTATTCTTATTTGAATGTGTTAGTCAATATACGTACGTAAATTAAGCCCAGCTAACATATCACTCATTACGAAAACCCTGCAATTCGTTATGAAACCCACGTATTAGCGGTTACGATCGTCCTGTAAAATCCGCTACGATAGTTTTTTGTCGCTCTTCCAATTTTGCTGGTTACGAAACTCCTGTTTTTTTCGGTTACGATAACCCGAATCGTGACGAGTAGCAACATTCCCTGCAAAGCCACGACAAAGCATGCAGAAAACTTACTATGTTCTCTGCAGTTCTCTTCGTCATTGCTCTGATTTTCACTTGTTTCTTACAATAACTTCGAATCCTAAATCTTCCATAACATAACATTTACTGCATCACAAAATCCGCGATCAATAATTATAATATCCGTCGGGTTAAGCCGATCTAATATATTATCATAATTGTTGGAGAAACAATATGTGATGATACTGGCATCGTTGTTTTTCGAATCAGATAAGAAAGGCTCAAAGCATTTACTATATAGCCGTCGAGTGGTGATATTTATTTTCAGTTTCGAATCGATTGAAATCATTAAATTAAATATTTCTGAAATTTTTATATTCGGACGTGATGTCGCGCTATGCGGCGTATTGAGTCGATGTTTCAAAAAAGTTTAATCTAGCGAAATAATTCGCTTCAAAACTGAAAATAAACATCACCACTCGACTCAGCATGATCGATTACCTATATTTCGAGGTTTTGGGAGTGATCCAAGGTCAGCTGGCCGAAACCGGGGCTCTGAGGAAACTACTTATATTTCCTGAGCAGCACAAGCTAAAGAGCTGGGCCTTGTGTACATCAATGGAGAACAATCTTCTCTATCGAATGGTTATATTAGAATTTCAAATTCAACGGAGAATCTTTTCTCCAGGCAGTGCCCAATATGTCAAGCGAAAACTCACCTGATTGGTCAATTATTAACCAACCAGCTTTCGATATTTCCTAATAAAGATTATTCTCTTTCGAATATTGAAAACCGCAGGTCTCCAACTGCTTCCTATCCGGAGTTATTCAATTTACAAATAGTGGCGTAGCCACAGGTGGGTAAAAACTGTTTGAGGCTACCCTCAAGATATTTGAGTTTAATTACCCGGAAACATTTTTTAGATGTCTCAAGAAAACGTGTGATATCAGATATGAAAGATATCACATCACATTGTTTTTTGAAGTATAAAGATTTCGATCAATTCTATAGCGGCTACTTATTGTTATATTTAGATACCTGTATCTCATTCTCCGTGCCCTCTCTTATCTCTCATCGTTCACTATGTTCGGCGTCTTTTCTTGTCTCATATATTCTCTACGTCCTCTAATCACATGTTCTACTCACTATATTTCGTGTCTGTTTTTCATTCTTCCACGCTCTTTTCTCGTATGTTCTTTATAGTCTCTTTTCATATGATATCAGCTACCGTGTCCATTCACTGAGTCTTTTCTCTTTGCAATATGTCATCCACTAGGTTATTAAGTGGTAGTTGGTACATTTCCATTCGTTTTTTTAAATATGTGTTCTTGTCAGATCCCCTCTCGTTCAATCAGTATTTTTCTTTCATTCTGCCTTATTCGTTTCTTCTCACACATGTCAAATATGTTTGGATTTTTCCATTTCTGTCTACCAAGTATGTTTGGCCTTTTCCCTTCCTTCTCTATGTGTCATCTTTTCATATGTATCATATCTCATGAGATTTACCTTCATCATCCGATGGACATCTCCTAATGATTTGTGATCCACTTTCCTATATATAGCCGGTGTTTTTTCATAAATAAACATAAGTGTGATACACATTCATATCTAGTCATCATCCAATCGGTGATCTAGAATTAGCCACCTGACGAGGTACTTTCTCTTCATATGATATTATTCATTGTCTTTCCTCTCTCTCAATTCCCTCTTTTCTTTATGACTATATAAAGTGTCGTTGTGCTCATAATAAAATGATTTTTTTCGAAGGTGTTAGGTGGTAATTCGCACATCTCTACCCACTTAATTCTTATGTATATGTTCTTGTCGATTTTTATCTAATTCGATATTTTCCTTTTCTGTTATCACACATATGGCGATTTTCCCTTTCTTAGTACTTTTCTTACTCTCAGTGTTATTGTTGATATGTATTATATCTGATGGGATTTTTCCGACCATTTTACCTCCATATTTCCTAATTGTGTGATGTCCCATCCTATATAAAGATGATGATTTTGCATAAATAAACAAAGTGTGAAACGATCACTTTCTTATCTTATTATCATTCATTCGATGAAATAGAGTTAGTCACCTAATATTGGTACATTCTGGTCGACTAGTTGTCAATTCAACAGGTGACAATTTAATATTGGGCAGCGAACATCTAACTGAAGGTCGAGCAAGTAACTACTTACAATGTAGCCAGATAAACGCAGGACTATCCAGTCGTTTTTCTTCTCGAACAAAAAACCTCGCAGTGAAGAACAACAATCAGCGTACAACACTAACACCTCAACATCACCATCTCAGATTCAAAATTGTCCTTCTTCTTCATCTGATCATCAAATTTCTCCTGATTTGTGACATATCTTCTTGTCCTTCTGCCAATACATCTACTTCTTTGAACGAAGATTTACAAACAAAAACAATTCCAAACGATATCAGTTTGTCTTGCAATGATGAGGCTGTTCAACTAAAATTAAAATCCTATCCTTCAAACTTTCAAAATCGTTCATTTCAGTTCAATTGGTTTCACAACAGGCCGTGGCTTGAGTACTCTGTTCAAAACAACGCTGCTTTTTGGTTTTACTGTCGGTATTTCTCTGCAAACAAATTGAATGTTGGTGATGTTTTTATTTCATCGGGATATAACAACTGGAAACGTACGCTGGAAAACGGAAGTGGATTCAAGAAACACGTATCTTCTCAGTCGCACATAGTTGCATCAAAAAACTATGAATCATATAAGCTACGTCGAGATACAAATACAACTGTTGATAAATTGGGCTCTGGTCGTGCACAGCAGATTCGTCGTAATCGTGATCGCCTTATTAAAATTGGTTCAACCGTACACTTATTAGGAAAACATGATTCCATTCAGGGGTCACGAAGAGCAAGCGGGGTATGTGTGATGAATTTAGAGGGCTGTGCTTAATGAATGTGAAGGAGCAAAAAGAAATGGGCTAAGGAATTATGAGAAATAAACGTGAGATCTGTAGGAGATCAACACTCTTTCCGTTCAAGCTGTTCTTGTTTCTTCTTACTTTTTTTCGTTATGAAAGGACAAATCGTGGCAACTTTCTCGAGGTGCTGAATTGGGCAGCGACAACAGATTCAGTTGTGAGATCAATTTTTGAAGATAGCTCAAACAATGCCACATATTTGAGTCCACAAGTTCAAAACGAATTGATTCATATTCTAGCTGTTGAAACTAGACAACAAATTTCGTTGATAGTGAGCGAGGATTTTTGACGATTCATTCTGCTATTATTCTTCATTCTGGTTCTAGTTAAACAATCAGAATTATGCGTTGATGGCTGATGAATGCTGCGATATAAGTGGCACACAGCAATTATCTATTGTTACTCGATTTTTACCTGATCTACAGAATCGTTCGATTGATACACAGTGGGCATTTTTTGCTAGAGCAAGCGGACTTTAGCTTTATGAGCGAACTAAAATTTCTTGAACCATTTTTTTATAGGTTTTTCATGATCCTCTTTCTAATGGCATAAGAGTTGGGTTTTGA